GGGGGGGGGGGGGGGGGGGGGGGAGCTGAACTGGTTAAAGAGTACATTTGTTTGGAAAAGGTCTATACAGTCTAAAAAGAGGGCCAACCAAGGTGAAAGGAGGGATTTGGTTCCAAACGACCTTCAAATGAGTGACAGATATTAGCTATGTACACACTCAGATCGGTCATTCACTCGGCTGCCCTCGGCAGCTTCGTGAATAGACCCCCAAAGTGCTGGACCTTCCAACCTAAACTATGAAAGTGTCGGGTGCTACAGATCATGATTCATTACTGTGCCGGAGTCTGGTGACAGGGGTGAACCTACCGCCGGTGTGGCTGCACCGGGGCCCGAGCCTGGGGGGGGCCAGTATCCGATCCAACACAGTTGGGGTGTTTTTCTGCGTCCTCCCCCACCAGGGAACAGTTGAAGAACGGCCAGAAGAGGTGAAGGTAAATAATTCACTAAAATGATTATTATTTGTAGCCCAACTCATGGGCAAGCTGTGTAAAGTACTGCTGGGATTTGTAGTGCTCTGTAGCAGGTGCCATTCTGCACTACAGCAATGCAGAAGGGCACCCTCTATAGAGGACTACAAATCTCAGCAGTACTTTATACAGCAATGCTATTTTTTTCTATTTTTCTAACTTTATTTGTTGTGGTTGCTTCAGGGGGTGTGGATTGGGGGGTTTGTGTTTTTTTGGGGGGGGGGAGGCAAAAAAAAATCTTGCCCCAGGGCCCTTTGTTGCTTAGGTCCGCCGCTGTCTGGTGATGTAACCTTTCAACAAGTGGACATTTGCACCTTGTAAAGATGTTTTCCATCACGGTACAATGAATCTGAAGGTTCAGTATGGACAACAAAGACACGTGAGGCCCCTGAACAGAGGGAAGCCGTCAGGACATCATAGGCGTCCTTCAAAGAGTAGGAAGCTCCATTCCCATCACTGGAGGAAAAACGCACAGACATGTTCTACCTGCAGCATCATCTTCTACGGATGTAATGAGAGCGATCCTCACAGCAGGACATGACACAGAAATATGAAGCTTACAGGGGATTAGCATGACTCAGGGGGGTATTAGTATGCAGAGGAAGGAGACAGTGTTAGAGCAAATTCCTCTGCTGCTGCTCTCACTTCTTAGAGCCGATCAGGCAGTAGTTGCTCACAGGCCGTACAACAAGAGCTGCCATTTTTCTCACCTCACTGCATCCTTGTAAACATAACAATGTGAAATCACTGTGCACCTATCACACTGCAATCCTCCCAAATACCCGACTCTACAAAAATACCAAAGCTCTGGCTCATAGGTATGGTTTGGTAGAAATGGCCAACACAAGGAGAGTACAGGAAGATGATCAGGAAGATTAGGCTACAATGTGGAATCACAATTTGCTACACTAGAAATCCAAATGTATCATCTGAGAAACACTTAAAGTGCAACATAAGCCAAAACCTTTGTTATAGTTTTGAATAGAGTGGAGAGGGATTGGAACCCCTGTCAGGTTTTCTATTGCTGGCTGGGTCCTGGTTAGGGATATCCCCCCTTTCTATTTGCCCTTTGACCATTATCACTGAAAGTAAAAGAAAGGAATAGATGGGAAATCTTCCAATGGGGACACTAGTTCTGGTGACCTTGCTGACCACCGGTTGTTGCTATTGGACAGGAAGTGAAGGGAAATCTCCCCCAATGGAACATAGATGGCAAAAAAAGCTGACTGGGGTTATAACTTGGGATGCACCGATATATCGGCCGCCGAAACATATCGGCCGAAAATGGCACTTTTGGCATAATGCTGAAAGAGCCATGTTTCGGCCGATATGCTTCGGCGCATGCCTGGTTTCTTTCCTCCCCGCTGGGCGCTGCACTGTGTCCCGAAGCCCCTAAAAGCAATGTAAAAAAATAAAAATATTTAATAAAAAATCATCCCAGGACTCCCCTTTGTCATCTCCCCTTCCTCCTCCTTCTACCCCTTGTCCCTTCCCTCCTTCTTATACCCCTCCTGTACCTTCTGCTCCCCTTCCTCCTCCTTCTTATACCCCTCCTGTACCTTCTCCTCCCCTTCCTTCTTCACCTCATTTCTTCCCCTTTCTCTTCTTCTGCCTCATTCACCTCTTGCTCTACCTCCTCCTCCACCTCCATCTATTCTTTCCTCTACTCCTCTTCCCCTTCCTCCTTGACCTCTTCCTTCTTCACCTCCTCCTTCCTCTATGGGATTATGAGGACCGGTTATGGGGAGTTGTTCACCCCACCAGTGGCTCACCATCTGCGACCTAAGGCCATAGGCTGCCAGTCCTTCCCCAGCAAGCAGTCTTAATACACGAAGCAACACTTGCCAACACACACCACACCGGCCCCAGTAACAAGCTTCCCATGCCCCCCAACATGTCCCCAAACCCCCCAACATGTCTAGTGCCTGTAGGCCAGCTTGGCGCTTTTAATATTTCTATACCAGCTGGTGAAAACAGCCCCCCTTCCTCCAGGGTATGGCCTGGGCAATCGCACATTAACATTTCCCCACTCTAGGTAAGGCTGTAGAGTGCCTTACCTAGAGTGGCCATAGTTCTCTTTAGGGTCACAGGAGGATATTGACTAATGTCCTCCTGTGACCCAAAACTCAGCATATAGTCTATGCCAGTGGTTCTCAACCTGTGTAACCTTAGGACCCACATCTGTCCTTGGTCATTAAGTCACGACCCAAGTCGCACTGCAATGGAACGCACGGCATTAGGGTACCATGCGTTCTGGTGCGGATGTACAAACTGTGGGTGTGAAGGTGCATTTGGGCTACCATTAACGTGAATGGCAACGCAACACCCTGGATCCTCAGCCAGTGTGGGTTGCTGAGCTGTGACGGAGCTCCATCCATATGTGCATTGCCTGCACGGCTCCCTTGCGCGCCCTGTAGAGGTGCCGGGAGCCAGAATGTGATGTCACTCCGGTCCAGGCACCTCTACAGGGCGCGCAAGGGAGGTGTAAGCAATGCACATATGGATGGAGCTCCCCTGTGGCCGTACCCCCAGCCCACCTCAAGCTGACACTCAGCACCGGGCAGCATATTTTAAATGGCTGCTTGGCACGAGAACCAAGGGTCTATGCCAGCTATGTGCTGACAGCGTGCATCCACTCTGTGGCCAGAAAAGATCCAAATGTCAGGATCCACCCCACTGCCTGATTGACAGCTGGCTCTGTCTCTCTAGAGGCAAAACCTTCCCCGTCTGTCCCCCCAGGCCCGGCGCTACCGCAAGGCAGGCGGCCGCCTGAGGGCGTTGCAGGGTGAGGGCGGAAAAAACAGGGCATTTTGACAAGTACTTGTCAAAATGCCCGGATGTTAGCGCTATTGTTTTTTGTTTTTTTTCTTCACTTACCTTCCGCGCGGGAGAGCAGTGGCGAGTCAGCGCTGGTCCGGTGGGAGGAGCTCCAGGTGGGGTCCTAATTTAGCTGGCCGGCGCGTGTCGGGATCCTCTGGCA